GGAAAAAGGGGACCTTTCTAGACCCTAAAATTTCAGGATCGTTTCCTTGAAGTTATTGCATTTAAATAAGATAGACGCAATTCTAAGTAGTTTTATGAGAAAATTATTTAATTATAAATTTTATATATTATATTTATATAAGATTTTAATTATTTATCTTATGGTTTTTGATAGTTTAAATTTATTATATTTTTTAGATAAAAAATAATTATTTTTTTATAAATGTGAACAAATCTTAATAATTAAAAATGAAGAAATGAATTGTTAAGATTTTATATAAATATAGTGTATAAAACTTATGTGTAAATAAATTTTTACTAAGTAATTTTTTAATGGTCAATTCTAATGATACAATTTTAATATAATGCACCTAAGCTATTTCAAAAAAATAGAAAAAAAAAATTTTTTAATGAGAGAAAATTAATATTAAGGCACTATATAACTATACAACTCTTCTTATGCTAATAATAATCAATGCATTGCACTTGGACCTTCAGCTTCAGTGGCGTCAGATCACGTATAAATGTATTTTTTCACCCTTAAGACAACAGTTCAAATCTGACTCCTTACATATTTGTTCAAAAAATAATAATAATAATTAATGCATTAATTTGTTTTTACAATTTTTGAACATGGAGAAATTGGGTGTAAGGGATTACATCACACAAAGATTTAAACCATGGGGTGTCTATGGTCTAAGTTGCACCCTACTATTGCGGCACAGCTGCAGGTGCTGATGCATTAATAAGATATGAGAAGTGCAACGTCTGACTTTTTGTGCAAAAATTTAGGTACTGTTTTTTTAATATAGTATATAAATAATAATTTTAAAATTATTTTCAAAATTATTCAATAAGAATTATATTTTAAAAAATTGAAATATTGATCAAATGATTTAAAAAGGCACTACTGCAAGAAACAAAAAAAAAAGTCATGCAACAATAAAAACGACTAGATGAGGGGAATATGCAAGAGAGAATAACTTCTGCTTTTTTCTTTTTTTTTTTATAATGAAGGATTAGTTGTTTAACGTCATAAAAATTTAATTTTTAATTTAATTTTAAATTAAAAATTTTAAATTAATAGATACTAATTCAACTAAGTTTTTATTAATAAAACAACAAATTTAGATGAAATCTAATTAAAATTTTTAAGTATACCAAAAAAATTGTAAAACGTTAAAGGAGAATAAAACTACAGTATAAAAGAAAAGAGTAACATTGAAAGCATATTTGTCCACATTGACCTTAATTAAGTCACACCATTTATACCTTAACCTAGCAAGTGGCAATAAAAATCAGAAGCAAAATTCAAATATTTCTTTTCCAAGATCGACCCCCTAATTTCCTTAACATTGACCTAACTTCACTGGGTAGGCACCAAACTTTTCCTAGATTTTTGTTCTTCCCCAATTCCCACCACATCCATCAATGGCATTGTCTCCCTCCAGTTCATTTCTTCAAAAGGAAATAATTTAACCATTTTTTTTTCCAAAATAACATAGACATTTATTAAAATATTGGGGGGATATTCCTAAATTTTACTTTTAAAAATATAGATTAAAAGTATATTTATTATATATTTTATTATTAATTTATATAAAAAAAAATAAAAAATAATTTTAATTTTATTTCAATCATTTAATTAAAATATTCCCTTGTAACATTGGTGCAATAAATACACCTTTATAATACAAATCAGAAAATTCCAAATACTAATCAAAGTTCTTTAACAACCATGTTGGGAACGCTACAGAGATTTGAATCGCATAATCAGTACCATTTGGGTGAATAATACCCACTTCCCTTAGGCTGAGATTTATTCAGGTCCTCTTAAACAGGATTAAGGTAGTTTTTAGACCCCTGGGATTAGTCCCACCAAATCCAAATTACTATATTATCCCAAAAAATAAAGTACAAAACTATTGTCATATTACGGTGTCAGTACATTGTTGTCACTAAGCATCCTTTGATGAATGGAGCAATGTGCTTGATTATATTAATCAAATGAAATCATGTTTGTAGTGCAAATAAGCTTAAGAAAATATGGGGGAGTGGTTGAAAAGTGAAAGGCTGAGGAGCCTTTTCTAGGCCACTCAACCAACCCAACTAGGCCTTGTTTGAGAACACAAGATTCTCTCTACAAACAAAAAGCAACATAGAAAAAGGGTTTTGCTTTTTTTTTTTTTTTAATGGTTGAAAAATATTTAACTTCAAAGTTCAAACTCAAACATCAACAACACGACACATTGAACTTCGTTTCAATTATTTTTAACATTAGTCATTGCATTGGCACTGTGAGACTATGACTGTATGACTGTGGGAGCAGCTGTTCTTCACTGTTTTACTTCTGATATATGGTACCATTTGAAAGCAGGAAGCTTGAAAAGAGGAAATAGTTTGTACCATTTTATTTAATTATTCTGTCAATTTCGATATTTTGGCTTAAGTCAAATAAGATGACAAGAGGCTGCGAGCATGTGATCCAAATGCTAGGTGCATATATTTTATTTTGTATGTTTGATTTTGAATTATATGAGAAAAAAGAAACTCTTATTTTTGAAAAAAAAAAATTTCTTATTCATCTTAACATTCAAAATCCAAAACATTAAAGTTGGAATCATGAGATTAATTAATTGAGATACAACTCTAACATTATGATTGGTTTGAGAGAAAATAAACAATTATTTTATTTAGTTGTTAAAAAAATTTAAGGGAGAAAAGTCTTTTATTTTATTTTATTTTTTTTAAATTTCTTCACTTATCTAAATAAAGTAACAAGAGCAAAGGGGAATGGACACTCCATTTCCTTTAAACCAAACATATCAAGGCATTGAGAACATAACAAGGATTAACTTCGTTGCTCTAACTTTGTTACAATTTTTTTTTCTTAATTGATGCATATTTGTACTAGTAACCTTATAATATAAATACAGTATACAGGTATGATAAAATTTTCTTTTAAGTTAAAAAATAAGTATAGTCACTGCAGAGAGTTAGGAATACACATCCCTTACATACCTTTTGTATAATTATAATAATAATAACAATAACAATAATAATTTTTTAATTATTATTCATATAATATATAAAAACATTACTTATAAAATGTCAAAGTAATAACTATAAAAAAAACACATGCTGCCTTTTTCCAACACAAATTGGTTCAAGTTAGCCAGGTCGGCTCTCTATGAACAGAGTATTAGGTTGGGCCTTTATCCGAGTTGAAGTCCCTTTAAGTTCGTGAACCGAAGTTGCCAATTCGGCACGAAAGGTAAAAGGGAAAAGCGGAAAGCCCAAAAGAAATTTGTTGGACCAAACATAGGCCCAACTAAACCAGCTATCTGCAAGACGGCCCGAAAATCTACTTCCTGCAAGGCCTTTTTGTTTAGTTGAAACGCTCTTTCCTTTTCCTTTAGTTGAAAATTTACTGATCCAATTACAAATTATAGTATTTTATTCATATAAGTCCAATATATATCGAATTTTAAGTCAATTTAATATTTATAATTATTTGATAAAATAAATTATTTTTGAAATTAGGATTTTGTTAATTAATAAATACCGATTTGGCCAACAAACTTCGGTGCTTCAATGATCCCAGTTTTTGAACACGAGAAATTTAGGGGGATGGAGTAGGGTAAATAGGAGTGAGTTGAACGCTCTAGTCTAGATCAAAAGATCCTCATGCTCTAGACTTGGAACATGAATCATTGAAGCTACAAGGACTGCTTCTTTAACAATGATCCAATTGAGCCTAAACACGACATGCCCTAAAGAAGGGAAAAAAAATGCTTCTAATTTTTCCATGTTCAACACAAATAAAAACATAAACTTTCATAACATTTTTAATTTAAAATTTTTGAAAGGTAATTTTGATTAGTAAAATCACAAATGTCATAATTTTATTTAGAAATTTTTGAAAAACAGTAACTTTGATGAGTAAAGAAAACAAAAATTATGTCTTTAATTAAAAATATTATTTTAAAAAAATTATGTATTTATTTGTACCAAATCTCAGTGACTCACCAGTGAATCCCATGTAATGTTCCCATCTACCCCCCTCAAATGTAGTACAAATCACCCAGGTTCCATTCCAATGATCTGAAATTTCTAACCCACCAACCCTGAATTCAAAAACCATTCGAATATGTTTAACAATCATTCAGAATGAGCTTTTAGAAGCAACCTGAAGAAACACCCAAATATCGAATCTTCAAGAATCCGGTATCAAAAAAAGGCGATGACGCGTTTAAATGTAGAGTACCAATAAGAAATTCCAGAGATTACAAGGATAATTCATATGGACCTGTCAATGGACACTTAAAAAGGTGTGTCGTGAAATAAATGGTTTTAAAAAGACAGCTTTATCATGGCTTTGTCCCGACGCCATGGGCGGGGTCCAAAGTTGTAATAATCAAAAGGACCACTCTTAATCTAAAAAAAACGTGGCATCGTAAGACAGTATGAACATAAATGCTTTTTCCAAAATGAATTGACTTTCCTTGGAAACAGCTTTTAATAATTCAGAGAGGACACCAGGCATTCACATTAACAAGTCAAGACCTAACATTCTCGCAAAAATACTCAGACATCTAGCTATAAAGGTGAAATGATCTAGATATGATATAAAATTCCCAAATTATTGAAAAATGTATCATGAACAAAGCAAATTAGAGAGTTAAAGTACCTTGAAACCTTCTCTGAAATACAGAGGAAAATGATTAACTCAAGAAATCAAAATCCCTACGAGACGAAAACATGATTTAGAAAATAAATTAAACCAATAAAATCTTGAAAAGAGTACTCATTATCCAAAGACAGCTAGGCCCCAAATTGTACAGGGCGACATGCTTGTTCCTAAACCAATCATAACGGCACATGTATTAGGGAAATGACATTTAAAACAACCCCATGTCGGTTGAGAGATAAGCGCACGCAATGTTGACGCAACAGCTCAAGGCCAATCTCATTTTATGCCCTCAACCCTCACCTGAATACATCTATATATGCATCTGATTCCATCAAAATCACTCTAGAATCTTCTCTGCAAAGCTATATTTCACCAAGAGAATGGAGCAGCACCAACCAGTAGCAGCAGCAGCAACGGTGAAAATGGACACCGTCTTATCTTGCTTAGAGAAGGACATGCAACAGATGACAGACACAAAAGCTAGCAAGAATAGAAGAAGATTCAACGACGACCAAATCAGGTCACTTGAATTCATGTTCGAGTCAGAAACCAGACCAGAATCACAGATAAAACAGGAGTTGGCTAAGGAGCTTGGTTTACAGCCTCGCCAGGTTGCTATATGGTTCCAGAATAGGAGAGCTAGGTCAAAGACCAGGCAAATTGAACGGGATTACAGCATACTAAAAGAAAACTATGAATCTCTACTTTCCAGATATGAATCGTTGAAAAGAGAGCATCAGTCATTGCACAACCAGGTATGTCTTCTCCTAATTAACTATGAATATTAAGAACACTATATACAACTACCAGTCCTGACTCTAGCCATCTTTGACAGTTGCAAAAATTGAGGAGTCAGTTGGGGAAGGATCATGGAAATAAATTCTATGAAACAAACCCAATTGAAAACGGCAATGATACCAAACATCAGACTCCACATGCCATGTTTCAGCCAAAGGAGAAGCATAGCATTCTAAAGGAAAGCAATGGTAACCTACTTTCAAGTGAAGATAACCGCATGGGTGCTGAGATGAGGAAAGACGATTGGGTAGTTCTCAAAATGATAGAGGCCACGGATGTTTCCTTAACTTCAACACGGAATTGGTCAAGCTTTGAGTCTAGTTTTCTTGATCAGTCAAGTTGTAGTTCAAATTGGTGGGAACACTGGTAGTTAAAATTTGAATAATATAAATAGAGATGATATTTTTCCTAGAGACTAAAAGAACATATTCAGCACTTGAAGCATCAAACTGAAGAAAATCCACCAAACAGAAAATTTTGATCATGTCGACATATACTCTAACAAGATGTTACCAAATCAACGGCGTATATCCTCTTCCAAATTTTACTCAAATATTTTTTCCTTGAAATATTCAAGTCCATTCAAGTTCCAACCCCCTTAGAGAGAAGATACAACAGAAAATGAATGTGAAAAGAAAGCAGAAAGGAGTTCAAAGAGAAAGATATAAACAGAGAATTTAACTTCATGAAGTCATAGGAAGTCCCTTATGCCAAATTATTCGTGTATCCATGGCAATTTGGGCATTAGTAGCAAAGCATTAGAAAAGTATTCCAATTTCATTAATCACACAAATGAATGATCAATGGTCCAAAGATCATTTAAAAAACAACATAAAAGACTCTGTTCAATACAGAAAAAAGCTTCAAGTAGAAATAGTGCTTTTGGAAGGGGGTAAAAACTGTGAAAACTCTCTTGACTACTATTTTCAGATAGATAGAGATGTTGCAATGTCAATCCAGTATTTCCTACAACAATGATATCCCTTTTTCCCCATTCTACATACCAGGAAAAGAAAACAGAAATGATATTTGGGCATTATTTGTAACTTTCATATGATCTAGTATTCAGTGCTAATATGCTGTTTGGTTATCGTTTCCTATTCTTATTAAAATTCAATTAGTTATTATTAAAAATTCAATTAGTTATTATTACATCAGAAGTTGGTTTAGCCAATTTATTTTCACTATACAGAAGAAATGGGTAACTTTTTCCTCCTCCAAACCTTTACTCTAGCTTATCTCCCCCTTTTCTCCAAATTCCCCCCACTCCCCTCACACATTCAACTATATATTTGCTTTGCACCAAATTGGTAAAAGATCAATAAAAACCCATCATTCCCTGCCGTCAATCACTATGGAAAAGGATGAAGCAACCTCTCTAGAGAAATCTACGGAGAGAGCATCAATTAAGGCATTTAGAACTTAGGAAAAATCATTGTGGCAATGTTTTTATTTTTGAAGTTCAAAAAATTGTTTCTATCACAATGAAGCAAATTGAAGCACTAAAGTCTAAAACGTTATCTATGAGGATTCTAAGCATTGAAATGCCTACTTTATTCATGAGCCATACACGATACTTAAAATCTTTAGCATTTATCAGATCATAATCTTCATGTTATTTGCTGTCCGCAATCAACAAAAAAAGAGCATACTACAGATTGTGACATCCTTAATTTGAGCAACAACAGCTGCTATAGTGGACTATATCCCATGCAATCTTCTATAGATAGAGAGAGCCCATAGAGAAAGCTATGCAGATGAAAACCTGATTCATAAAAGTGTGAGCATTCAAGGCTTAGCTTTAACCTTGATATCTCCATCTGGTAATGCACTTTGTGATTGGCAAGGCATTCAAGGCTCTGATTTGACCTTCATGTCTCCATTGGGTAACACACTTTGTGATTGGGCAAGGCGTTTTAATTCCTGTATTGGATTTAAAATCTTGAATCTTATGCTAATAAGTTGAAAGACAATATAAATTTTAATAAGGCAACACAAAACCATTCTTCCTGAAGCACTCCAGCAAACTAGCAATAAACTTTAACAGCTAATTTCATTTGCATCATCCATGGTCTTGTTATATGCTCATTAAGGTTAACTCAAATTTTGTGCCAGTTCTTCAAAATGTTTTGTATTGAGAAAATGTTCTTAATACTTCCTAAGATATGTAGTTAAAACTTCAAACCAATTTTTAAGTAGCATATTTTGAGATGAAAATATTACCAACTACTATTTGCCAAAACTATGCCAATAATCATTATAGAACACTCCAATTAATCAAAGTAGTAAACAAATAATAACATAAGTCAATAGATATATTCAAATCTTGCCATATAATAGAAGCAGGCAAGATGTTATAAGAGCTTCTCCTATGGTAACACTATAACTTGTTAAGAGTAAACTAGTCCATGCACAAAAAAGCTAAAAAAGACAAAGCTAACAGAAAGTCCAGACCTCTAAGAAATACCAGACACAAGTCATTGTTGGCCAAAGAAAAGATCAATATTTATCTTACTGGTCAGAGATGTTTCCAACACATTATTATTCTTAATGATACTGAAAGAGTAGGATATCAGAAATTGCCTTCACTTTGTAAACTATACTGTTAAGGATTGGTTAAAATTGTAGGCAGATCAATGGGATATAACTTACAGCAGCAGAACTTGCTCGAATCTCCCTATACGATTCAACTTCATCAGGAAATGTCTGCTCAAGTTCCTCTAGAAGATGCCTTCGTAGACTCTGTAAAATACACAACAAGAACAATGATTCTCCAACCAATTCAAAGAACCAAATAAATCAATATGAAAGTCCAGCACCAAGGAGAGATTACCTTAAAGGCATCAGTTTTGCCTTTTGTAACTTGATTTTTGGCAATACAGCTGTTTAAAACATCCCTTGTAAACTCATCTGGATTCTTCCCATCATCAATCAAACTAAGCACAAGGCAACAAGTTACTAGTAGAAACTAAAGAAGAGGTGAGAATCCAATCATGAGAGAAATTAAATCACAGCCATGGAAATCCAGAAAACAAAGAACTTACTTAAGAACCTCCATAGGAATTTGGACGTTGCACTTCTCAGACAATTTAGCCATGTTGTCAAGCTCCATAACTAGAGAATTCCTGCAGAAAGTTACAACAACACACTGGGCTAAGTGAGACCCAAAACACAACTAAAAGCCAGAAAAACACGAGGCATGACATATATAATGCATTAAAGGGGGGCGGTTGGAGGGGACAGAGTTTGCAGAAGGATACAGGCGTTGGAGGAGGGGGAGCTGGGATGCAGCATTGAAAGACGAGACCGTGAGGTACAGTTGGTGGAGTTGGCCCAGAATTTTCTGGATGGAGTTTATAACTTGGTTAAGGTTGTGCTTTGGATCATCCATAGATGTCATATTTGCAGTATCATTTGATTGCGTGTTCACTATCCCATTGCCTCCATTTCCTCCCATCACCAGAGTTGCATTCTGTGATAAATCCATTTCTCGATTTCTGATTCCTACCTACCTAAAAAAAGGAAACAATAAATAAACAAGGAAACAAATAAAAGAAAATTTTTATAGGCAAAAGAAGCATCAAAACATGAAATTGCACACTTCAAACTTCTCTCGGAACACGAATTTATGCCATTAAAAATTAAGAACCAAAAAAATTAGCTGGTGCAACAATAATGTGCACATAAAAATCCTATTCATCATTATAAAGACATTATGAGGAGCTAACTTCAAGCAGTAAGCTAAAATCACAAATCTATTTAACATAATATATTTACTAAAATTAGAATAAAAAAGGATCAACAGAGCCGAAATCTATTAAACAACACAAATATTACTTAAAACCCTTAAAACACAGAATTGAAAGCCAAAACACGAAGGGATAGCAGCCTCTTGTTTCCTTCACTTTGTTATTTTAGTTTACTTTGGCAGGCATCTAGAGCGATTTACAGTGGGCAATTGGATTAAAGCGATCCAAATATATAAACCCTAAGATTCAACCAATTAACAGACCCAAATCTCAGAAGCTTACATCTAATACTCGAACTGTTGGCAGCACAACATGCTCGAAATAGGAGAAAGAGAGGTATGAAGATGCTTCAGAAGAGGGATAAAAAGAGATGAAGAAACTACCTGGTTCTGGGAACTGTATTTGATCTCCGGAGCTGGATGTTGTTTGGAGATTTTCCGGTTCCCTAACGAATTTTCCAATCGTCTCGGGCCCTTTCCGTTTTTCCTTTTATTTACCCCTTCTCTTTTTTAGGAAACCGCTATTTTAGTCATTGAACTTATATGAAATTTTCAATTGGGTCTTTATTCTATTTTTCCCTTTTATGTTAGGTCGCTGCATCGCCTGCATGCATCCTTGATTGAGCTTTAGTTTTAGCTTTTTTTGTTTTTCGTTTTTTTTTTTTGGGAGGATAAAATGTTTATTTTATTCATCCAATTGAAACTTAGCAGCGTTGCGAACGCTGCTACGACAAAGAACTATGGACTTTGAAACTATTAAGACTCACTTAATTTGGCAAAGGGATTAAACAATTCAAGACAACTATGCACTCAATCTTGTACAACAGGCTTCAATTCCCATTTCAGGGTAATATCTATTAGCATTAGGGAGGCATTTAGTTTAGCAAAGCTCAAAATTCCATCTCAAGCATCCACAATGACAAATTTAACAATCTCCTATTTATGTTGAAATAAGTTTTGATGAAATTAATGATTTTTGTCACACCAAATATAATAGATAATAGTGTTCTAAGATCAGCTTAAGTAGACAATTGTTGAGTGATTTCCACTTGGTTTTCATGCACAACCAAGAGAATAGGTTGTCCTGTGAGGTGAGATAGGAATTCTAGCTGTATCAAAAATTTCCCTCATATGTTGCCAGCATAAGTACAAGAGAAGAAAAGATAATCTCTTGTTTCAAAATCAAATTTACATAATATGCAAGTATTGTTTGGGGGTTCTTATTGGTGTTAACCCAAAGAAGGTCTCCACTTGGGCACTTGTTATTGAGTGCTTGAGAAGGAAATTGTCAAGCTAGAAATATCGATCGTTGTCCTTTGGTAATAGAATCATTTTCTTAAATGTTGTCCTATCAAGTATCCTAGTATATTTCTTTTCAACCTTGAGAGCTCCCAAAAAGGTACTAAAACTTCTTTCCATAATATAGAGAAGATTCTTGTGGGGGAAGAGGGGTAGTGAAGACAATAGGAACAAAAAACCTACAGGAGACACTTTGCTAAAAGGAGGAGTGGCTGGAATAGGCCATGATTTTTCGTGTGTATATTCTGTGAACACAATCCAAAAATTGTAAACTACTTGTTTTTCACGTGTGAGACAAGTTGGATGGTTTGGCAGTCTTGCTTTGCGTGGTGGGGCTTTTAATTTGTTTTAACAAATGAAGATTGGGGTCATTAATAGCAGTACATGGGTATGGTCCCTAGTGGCAAGTTAAAAACAGCATGATATGTGATTTGGTTTACAGTCTTATGGTCTATCGATTTGTGGAGAAACCAATTGATCTTTAAAGTAGGGTCTGATTCTCTAGATAATGTCATGAACTTAATAAAGTTACAATCCTTTAATTGGTTAAAGGCTAGCTAAGTTTGATGGAGAATTGTCTAAGGACCTTTGGTTTAATCATCCTATGGAAGCATGCAAAAGCATGGGGATAAATTGAGATAGGAATGTCAACTGTATTGGGATTGAGAATGTTAGATGTTATTGGGTCACTATATAAAATGATGTAATGGGTTAGGGTACTCGTTGTATTTCTTTTATATTTATATAATATTGATTTATTATATAACAATAAATAAATAAATAATGTGCAGGTATCCTCAATGCTCTACAACTAAGACTTTTGCCTAACTCTGGTAGATAATCTGTTTAATATAGCAAATCATGCAATAAAGCAATTCTTTAAGATTGAACTAGCAAACAATATCAGTTTAGACTCTGAAACCCTTGGTTCCTTCTCTCTCAAATGGTTCCATATGAGCCTTGTTTTGAATATGTCCAGATGGGGAAGGCAACCAATCACCACATCTTTCTTAGTTTGATTTTTGGTTACGAACCTCGAATTTTAGTTAATATTCAACTAAACTCAAACTTGACATTTGTAAGACTCAAATCCTAGCTATTACTAGGTTATACTCTCCCACATTAAAGGCGGTCGTCGTGAGAGAATCGACAGTCCCAATTTTCTAATATTGATGCTCCCATTGGGTCAAACCATATAAAGGCTCGAGCCATCTTCAATACTGATGTTGGGCTAGTTCTAACAACCTTTGTTTTTATTAAAGCACTAAGCATGGCTTAGTGAATCAAATTCAAATCAAAGCCTGCTATTTGTATTTGAGAAAAATAAGATAATTACAAGGTTTAATTGACTAACCCTTGTTAGGGTTTCATTGTGCCTTATACCAAGCCAATCTAGTTTGGGTCACGAGATTCACGACTCTAGTTATACTAGACCAATCCTAGGTAGTCACGGTCTTGAGCAAATCTCAATTTTCTGAGCAAATCTCAATTTTCTAAGCAAAAACCTACTTTTAGCCTTCACCTTACTAGATTTGTAGGTTTTAGTCTCTCACTTATTAAAATTGAAGAAAATAGCTCTCAGTTTAGACTGATTATTAATTCTATTAGCTGAAAATAGATTTTTATCAATTAACAGTCAACTAATAGTCAATTAATAAAATTAACAAAATATTATAAAACTAGTTTTGTTAACTCTGTTAACTGAAAGAAAGTTTTTAATAGTTAACAGTCAACTAATAGAGTGAACAGTCAGCTAACAGCACTAATAAAATGTTACAAAATAAGGCTATTTTCTTCAATTTTATAGATGAGAGGCTAAAAGTGTCTTAATATAAAGTGAGAGGCTAAAACCTACAAATCTAATAAGGTGAGAAGCTAAAACCTTTAAATTTAGCAAGATGAGGGGCTAAAAGTAGGGTTTTACCCAATTCCTACGCCATTAACCTATCCTAGTCTCGAGTTGGATAGGATTGATCTAGCTCAATGGTCATATGCATCCCTCATCATGACTTTGTAAGGTGGGACCTCTGTCTTTTATATATATATATATATATATATAAGTGTTGTATGATTTCAAATATATTAGATTCACAATATAAATTATTAAATAAAAAATATATTTTTTAATATTAAAATATATTTTTTATTTAATAATTTTTATTTTATAATACAATCTCAAGTATAAAACAAAAAACTCGTACACAAATCAATTTTTTATTTAAAAGATTTTCTTATCTCTAAGATTTTAAATCAAAGATTATAATTACTAAGAATTGACTTGAGTAACTTATAAAGCAAATCAAATTGGCCATAAACTCATAATCATATTTAATTATGCTGAATATGTGATTGATGTGCAATTAACATTTATGGCCAACCAATTAAGGTAATCAAGATTCAATATTTCATCCTCAAAAATGAATTTCAAGTCGAACATAATTAAAACACTGAAGGAATACCTCTCTCTTTTTTAATAATACACCGATGACATATTATACAAGTTATAAGTTATACGTATGATTAAATAAATATAATATTAATCTTAATAAAATAAAAAATATTCGAAGAACACTGTTGATACTTGATACATCACCCAATTATGCAAATTGGGAGGCCGGCCAGATTAAGTGGGGCTTAGCACATAGAATAAACACAAGATTTGCATCAACTTCACCCCATCATGTGCAGACCTATTATGAATGTCAAGTCCTTGTTACATGACTTAATACGCCCACCCCCTTACGTGCAGACCTACTAATATCAGGTCCTTGTCATTATATGAAAATTGTAAATGTAGACTCAACATAAAGGTTGCATCCAACCTAAAATTAATTGGCAATAAAATGGAGTAGTCTTTCTTATATTTAACGCACGAGTTTTTTCATTATACACTCGATGTGGGATTTTCTCACTCAACACATATATTTAACCATGTGAAACATTCATAGATTCATATATGAATTGGGTTCGACAAATTAACTTAGCCCTTCCATTTGCAAAATCTACTGGAATATATAGAGTGGGATCCATTATCTCTTTTTATTTTTATTTTTTATTGGCACAAGTGGGAAAGACCAACATTCTCCACTAATTGAGAATATTGTTTTAATAATAACTATATAATTAGTTAATTATTTAAATATTTAATAATAATTTTTTCTCATAAAAATCAAAAATTTTAAATTTGTAGTACATAATACATGAACGAAATGGGTTAAAAAAAATTATCTCCAATTATGAAATCTAAAATCAAGATAATCAAAATAACCATGATGAAAATCGTGCACATGGATCTCTTTAATTCTTGATCAAGGGGCCAGTGCAATCCTTTTGTATAAAAATTCATAATCCACAACCAAAATGTGGCATCTTGGTTAGCAGGTGGATTTCCTTGCCACCAGCTTGTTAATTAATTATTAGTTAATAATTAAACTTCAATTCTTTGAAGAAGTTATTGTATTTTAAAGTCGTCTCAACATAATGTTATTTCTTGAACACTCTTGTTCATCTCCACATCCTGTTATTATTGTGTATCGGTTACAAGATCAACTAAAATAATAATTAGTGAACTTATTAAAAACTATCGATAAGAAAATATCATTGAAATATTTGCAAAAAACTTATTTACTTTAAAGTGATTCACATCTTCGTGGAGGGCAGAAGACTCAAATCCACCGCCAAAGTATAGTGATAGGGACGGATTCACCCCTAAACAAAAAATGAGGACAAATTCACCCACAAAATTTTCGACTTGGATAAATCACCCCAAATTTAACATGTGACATCATCTGACATTAGCAATATGTTAATTTGATATCATCTGACGTCAGCAATCCGTTAATAAATTAACGGATTGTTGATGGTAAATGATGTCGCACATTAAATTTGGGGTGATTTATCCAAGTCGAAAACTTTGTGGGTGAATTTGTCCCCGTTTTTTGTTTGGGGGTGGATCCATCCCTACCACTATTCTTTGGGAGTGGATTTGGGTATTTTGCCTTTGTGGAGAGTAGATCAACTGGTACAGTAAAGATATATATAGTATGTCACTCCAAGATACTACAACCTTATAATAACACTCTATGGATGTGCACTATCCATAGAGTTACGTTACTCAAAATACCCTTCCTTACCCAAAAATATCTAGAAGATAAAGCAAAGTAAGGGATATAAGAGAATGTGGAGGAACACCTTTTTTTAGCAAAAACACATGTCCTATGTATAGGACT